AGTACATTGGCAACCATGTTCCTGGTAAATCAGAGCATTTCATACATACCAGTTCTCATAATGGTGGATAAATACAAGGTGTAGTCCCTGAGAAGTTAGGCAAATATTCTTGGTTTGGGCTACCTATTCTGTTAACCGTTAATGCAAGCTGACTGCATCATGGCACTCCAGAAAGACCAGAATGAATTAGACAAATGGCCTTTTCTCTATTTGCCAACAGTGCCCCATTATTTAACAGTACAAGAAGAATACAATAAATAGCCTATGCAAATAAATAGTTATTTACTCTGCTAAAAAGGTTAATATTTACAGCTTACTTTACTTGTATTTTTACAGTCCAACTTGTTTTTTTCATTCAGTTTGTGGCAGCTTCCCTCCCCCCGCTATTAGGGTCCAACACATGTTTAAACTGACTACATCAAAAGCCTCCTGTGAAACACTGGTTTCTCCTCCTCTTTCTTCATCTGACTCTCTTTCAGCTATGAAGAGCAGCAGATATAGATTAACAAGGGGAATGATCTAGCCAAAAGTAATTATGTAAGTTCTATCAGCTTCAGTGTGAGAGTAAAACAGGTGTCAAATTTCTCACACAGAATAGAATATGACCTAGAAGGATGAACTTATCTTCCTCCTGACTTCACAATGTACAGTTGGAGAGATACATATTAGCCACTCAAATGCTGGTTCAGTCATCAGTTTTGTCTGTCTTCCCATGTTGGGTCATCCACTTACATTTATTCATCTATACTTCCATTTCTCCCTCTGCTTTTATGAGTTGCAAAACTACTCTAGAGATGGGTGGGGAGAGTTTAGTTAGTGATGGCCAAGTATTAGCCAATCAAGCACTATGCACAGCTTCCACAGTAAGTATACTTCCACAGCAGCTCTACCACCCAAACAATTTGTGAACACTGCCCTTGGAAGTGCTTACCTTTGGCTCAGTTGTACTCCTGGTTGTTTTAGCAGTAATGGACTACAGTGGGAATAGTCTTTTTGTGATAGGTGCAACAGTGGCCAGCTAATATAGTAAAAAAATTATCCCTTACTTCATTAACGGAGGGACACACGTAGAACTGTCCATGGATTTCCATGTTATCTAGTACAGAGCTAAAGAACCAAGAAGGTATCAGATCTCTGTATTACAATGGGCTTGTCCTTGAAGCAGAAACATTTCAGAACAGCAGCTCTTCAGTATACCAGTTTGCTAGAAAGGGGGAAAATCAACTGGCACATTAAAGCTAAAGTTTTAACTGTAGGAAGAACTAAACCTTATACCAGTAAATATGCATTTCTCAAATGTGTGCATTCATTAGTAAAAACTCAGTGGCAGGGTTTGCTTAACCCTTTTCACATCTGCTGGTTCTCCATACAAATCCCCCTCTCTTGGCCATTTATCCCCAAGTCAGCCTTCTGAATTCAAAGCCCAGGTGGGAGAATTAAAAACAAAACAAATAAACAAAAAACCCACTAACCTGTAAAGGAGAATAGCTCATGGTGAAAGGACTAAGTATCTGTTTTTCAGTCAAAGTCTCGCATGCTCAAATGCTCTCCTGCCTACCTCCCTCACTAGCATTATAAACCAAATGTAGGGTTAAGATGCCATGTTTGTGCTATAATGCCTATTTCTACCTTCTGAAGGTCTGACTGGCTTGCACACATTTGAATGGTTAATTATGAGAATGGCGATTAAAAAGCTATTTGTGGAAGAAATGGTAAAAAGTAAAGGTAAAGGTTCCCTTGCTCGAAAGCCAGTCGAATCCGACTCTAGGGTTGCGGTGCTTATCTCCGTTTCAAAGCCGAAGAGCCAGCGCTGCCCGAAGACGTTTCCGTGGTCATGTGGCCGGCATGACTAAACACCAAGGCGCACGGAACGCTGTTACCTTCCCACCGAAGTGGTCCCTATTTATCTACTTGCAATTTCTTGCTTTCGAACTGCTAGGTTGGCAGGAGCTGGAACTAGAGATGGGAGCTCACTCCATCATGCAGCAAAGTTGGCCAGAAGTTTTTGTGTGTTGGTTGTTTCCTTGTAGCAAACTCCCACTGCTGAAGAAATGAGCTGCAATTTAGTTATAAAAGTATATTTCATTTACAGCTAAGTGGCTGAAAGGAAAACTTAACTCATGTGCCTAAATAGCTTATTTGGAGCTGTTAATATTTGTCCAGTTACCTTAAGAATATATTTATTCAATGGACAGTCAATTTCCCTTCACTGTAATGCATAAAAATACTGTTTTGTAATAAAAGGGAAATAATATAGCATATTTGTAGTAGTAACTAATTATATTTCAGAAATGCCTGTGTTCTTTACATTATATCTGTATACTATTTCACAATTTTTGTATTGGGGAGGCCAAAATGTACTTGAAGGAATCCCCCCCCCCGAAACCGTTATGACTTAAAGCTGGTTTTATTTCTCTTTCAATAGCATATAACCTACCAGGAAGAATCTTGTGCAGAAAAAACTCCTGAACAAGTATGGTCTTAAAGAATACAAGCAATTCTGTTACATAAAAGGAGAGTTCAATTGCTTTGCTGGACACACGTTTCAAACAGGACTATTTTCCCCCCAGCCTTGTTCGTCTAGCATAGTCTCACAAAGCAGTACACACTCATTGCCCACATAGGAGTATTTTCTATAAAGATGCATATAAATAGATTTTCACAGTGAAATGTATTGACTTGTATCATACGTAACCAAAATCACACAGCAATTCCTTGAGACAGCTTAATACCAATACAATGAAGATGTCCGAGCAACAACTGTGAATTGCAGGCAATTCCAAGAGCACATCTGATACTAAGCATTAATAATGATTTATCAAAGTGAAAACTGATATTGAAGAAAGGGAATTATTGGAGGAAAGTGCTGCTTACTTTTTATCCTTATTTTGATATCACAGTACAGAACATGATCTTTAGACAAAAAGAGTGTGGCCCTTTCCAGTCAAATACGTATTAGTACTACATATGTTAATATACATCTGTTGGATGGGACCCAGATTTCTCTCTCAAGGAAGCTCTTGTGTTTAAGACAATATATTTTCCCAGCCAGACAATGTACATCCTGAAATATGACTATGCAAGCGTCATGAAATCTGTTGGACAGTGCCCATGATACCACCAATTAAAGGCAACTCTGCTTCCCACACTGTGCATGTTGTGATCTTATCTATAGTGCTCAGTTTGCACAGAAAAGATTCTTATATGAGTTAAAACTGAGGCCCCTTGTCTACAGGGCATTTTACACAGCCCACCGTAGTGATTCAGATTCAGAAGAAGGGAATGAAAATGGAAAGGAAGCAATTTTCATCAAAAACGGCTCAGGCACGCTTCCCAAACGTGACAGAACTGGCATTGTCTGAACAGGTAAATATATTCCATTAGGAACCAGTTACTAAAATGGGTCTGTCTCAAATGAAAGGAAAAACCCGTTAGCGACCAGTTCCTGAAATGGAATACATAGGCTGTCTGAAATCCCATAGTCAGTCCCAGCAGCCGGTACTCAGAGTTTGCCTTCAGGTTTTAGTAGGGCTTGCTGCAGAAAGAAAACTGATGAGGAACTTTCCCAGAATTTGCCTTGAGAGTAATCCATTTCAGTTACACTGAGATTTCTGTTTTGCAAAAGCTGAGCATCTCTTTTGTATGCTAGCATGCATATCCTGCAGTATGGCTATTCCCTGAGCACAGGTAATTCACACCTTTGTATGTGGGTATAATGCTATTAATAATGTCAAATTCTGAACTGTCTGGGAAGGGCTCCTTGTGTCTATTTAGTCTTCTAAAATGAACAAGTGTGTGCTCTGCAGATTAGGTTTTCACTGCATGTAAAGTATTCTATTTTAATAATGTTGGTAGGTAAATCATACAGTACACAGATAGGTAACAGCTAAAATGTGTACCAAACAGTGGCACAACAGAACATTTTAATTGCAGGGCCAGTTCTCTGCCCAAGCAACTAGGGAGAGCCCCTGAGTTCCCGGGTTCTAGGAAAAAGCTGTTAATGCTCATCTGCTGCACATGCATGCCCATGGTGTGCAGCAAAACACTGCAGAACAGTCCCTAGTACTGTGATGTAGAAACTTTGCTTTTGTGGCATCTATACCCTAAAGGCCACTGCTCTCCTGCCCCACACTGGAAGCTGCTCATTCTAGGCTGCATTTAACTTCTGATAGATCTCCACTTATCTATTTAGCCAGTGTCTAACTTGCACCTATCTGAAGTTAATTAGTTACCTTATGTACAACAGTCATGGGGGGAAAAACACATAGCATTCCTTTGTAATATGCAATGGAGCCTGTCAGCTGCAAATATTGTTATGAAAATCAGAATAATTGGTAAAGCAGTAACAGAGACAATTCTAAATTTTTAAAAATGTTAATTATGAGAAACATTGTGAGGACCATGCACTGTTCGAGTCAATTAAGTGTAGAGACACTTCACTTGTTACCAGAAATTATATTCACATGAACGTTTGTTTTTTGTTATGAAGCACATTCTGAAGTGGAAGTGACAGGATCAAGAAACAGCTGCAGTTGGCTACTATTTTATAAATGGTTTGAATTCTGTTTGTATGCTGTGCTCTTAACGAGGTGTCTTGCTTTATGCCTCAACTAGTGGTTGCTACATGTCCCAGGGAAGCCAAGATCACTCACAGTACTCCCTCTTTCTTTTTGGCAACAGTCAATACTTTGGCAGCTTAGGATCAATGAGGTACATTCCTGTGTGGCGAATTGTGAGCGCTGTTCTCATACGGTGTTGCTTCCTTCATGGTAGTATAAGCATTTTCTTTCAATGTAACACTGACAGAATCCGGTTTGAAAGGTACTCTGGACCATCATTGTTTTTAAGGAAACTCAAATGTTGAATGAGGAGAATGTGGTTCCTCTCTTTCCCGCTCTGCAGTTGAATGGAGCTGACATTTTCCTCATCCTTGGAAGGCTGATGTGAACAGCTCCCCTTTTCACTTTGCATGAGATTCCTGCATATGTTGTGGCATCAGCTACTGATAAAACTCAGTAAACATCTTTCTCCCAGGGAAGCAACTTGCTTGGCATAAACATTAACTGAAAGTACTCCAGTTTGTGTGAACTTAGACACGAGGCTCTATCCGATGAGAAAGCTCAAACAACATCTGCTGGTTGTCTATGATGTGCAAATGATGGACGTAGGACTTTAGCTCCAAATGCTCTTTTGGGGGCACTTCACTTCCTAAAAGTTAGACAAAAGAAAAATAAATAATAGAAGTTAGTTTGCAGCTTCGTTCTTTATTTTTTTTTCTGAACTCAGGTCCAAAGTGCAATGAAGCACACTTTGACACTCCCAAACTATTCAAGTTTGATTTCTAATTTTATTTCTGTGCTAATGAATTATAGATGTGGCTTAGGATGGTTACTTTTGACTTTGCCTGGGCTTGTAGCTATTGGCTTCCCCATATCTGCTGTCATGTGGCCTCTACCCTAGGAAAGGAAGTTCAAATACATAAATTAGCTTAAATTACTTGAGTAGCAAAATGCATTGGAAACAAGATAAAGGACTAAGAGCTAAAATCAATTGTGCATTTTAGATTGAAGGTGATTTCAGGATTCTATAAATTCCTGGGGCCTTAAGCAGACTGACTTCTCCCTCTTTCTCTGCTCTGTGAAGGGCAAGATGAGATTTCAAAATCATTCCCCTGCACCTCAATGATTCCCCAGCACCTCAATGATTCTACTGGCTCTATACACATTCATTTGATAAAGTGAGACAGTAGTCCATGAACACTTATGTCACAATAGGTATTAGTCTCTAAGGTGCCAAGAGACTATTTGCTTTGGGTAAAAGAAGTTTATTGCATCGTAAGGCTGGTCAAAGAGACTTGTCTGGAAGGAGGCATTTTGTTCCGCAATTTGGCTAGAAAGCAAGTGAGCAATTTACTCACCAAACTGGTTACGCCTGCAATGTCTCAGTGATCGGACTGTGTCTGCAATCATATGCTGTGAAACAAAAGAGAATTCAGCCAGTAAATATTAATCTAAGTGAAGCTTTTAAAAATAAGAACACTGTGGCAGTGGTACAAATGTTCCAATGCAGGAAGCAAGCCGTTTTCCTCTGCCAATCTTTGGCAATCACACAACACAAGATTGTACAGAAGAAAAGTATCATGAAGGCTTCAGTCATGAGCTCAGAGCTGCTTTTATAGGAAAGGTAACCATCTGGATTCTGCATGCATCCAGAACATAAAAGCCATTCTTCTCTTTGGGAGGAAACCATAAGTAGTACTGTGTGTGAAGCCAGGGTCCTTAGCCCCCACTGCATTGAAACGCAGCACACATTTTTATTTAAAAACTAGGAAAAAGGCCCGTTGTGGAAATAAATACAACGAGATCTAGAAAGAGGCTCTGGGCGGGTGCCCCGGCCTTGGACACTCACTGTCAATTTCCTGTGGCGACCTCAGCAGGGTATAATGACACTGAGTCCACCATTTTCTCCAGAGGAACTGATCTCTGCTACCTAAAGAACAGTTATAATTTTGAGTGATCTCCAGCCTTCACCTGGAGATTGGCAACAATGGTTCCCCAGAAGGGAATGGTTGGTTTGGAGTCTATGGCTTTGTACCTGTCCGAGGTCCCACACCTCCTGAAACCTCACCCTCTCCAGGCTCCATCCTTCACATCTCCAGGAATTTCCCACCTGGAGTTGGTAACCCTATCTCCTTCCCAGCCAATCATCAACCTACCTTTATTTCCCCCTCACTCTTCAGCTTTCCACCCCCCACACCTGCAGCCTCTCCTGTGCTCCGAAGCCCTGACTGCTACGTCACATTGGCTGTCATACGGGGGCCACCTCAGCAGCCTAGAAGGATACAGAGTCCACCATTTTCTCCAGGAGAACTGATCTCTGCCATCTGGAAAGCAGTTGTAATTCTGAGTGATCTCCAGCCCTCACCTGGAGATTGGACACATTTTACCTCAGAACAGCAAACTGTTTAGAATGTTAGAGGCAAAAGCCAATCAAGTCGCATATGCAAATGACCTCTGTGTTCCAAGGCAAAGGCCAATGAGGCTGCATATGCAAATAACATCTGACTGGCTATGGGGGGGAGGGGAACAGCAAACTGTTTAGAATGTTGGAGGTGAGACTCAAGCAATGTAGCCAGTGGATAGGGACAGATTCTGAGTGACACACCAGGGCGCCAACCAATTCCAGAGCGTGTGGAATGTTCTAGAGAAGTGCCACCACCATTCGGCTTTTATATATAAGGGAGATGCCAGCTACCATCTCACAACAACAGAGTAACTGCAGTTGCACACATTTATTTTATTTATTTAATACATTTTAATCCTGCCTTGAGCTCTGGTGGCTTAGAGGTTAAGACACTGAGCTGCAGACCGGAAGGTCTGTAGTTCAGCAGTTTGAGACCCTAGTGCCACATGATGGAGTGAGCTCCTGTCTCTGGCCCCAGCTCTTGCCAACCTAGCAGTTTGAAAGCAAGAAATTGTAAGTAGATAAATAGGTACCACTTTGGTGGGAAGGTAACATCATTCCATGTACCTTGGTGTGTAGTCATGCCAGCCACATGACCATGGAAAACATGTTCGGACAAGCACTGGCCCTTTGGCTTGGAAACAGAGATGAACACCGCCCCCTGGAGTCGGATTTGACTAGTTTTTGAGCAAGGAGAACCTTTACCTTTACCTAATCCTGCCTAGCCTCTAAGGAGCTGACATTATTCTCTGTTCCTTCATCTTATCCTCATAAATGTCCTATGAGGCAGGATTAGGATGAGAGAGAATGACTGGGCCATGATCAGCAAGATTCAGTTCCCCTGGTCTCCTAGATACTGGTCTGACATTCTGCATCACACTGGTGTATCAGATGTGTATACATGTTTACCAACTTATTGCGCGGATTCTCTTAACATGTGAAGTAGCAGTGATGCTTTTCAGAGGTGTATGAAAACTGTGTCTCCCTTTCAGTTCCTCCATGGGGGCAAAGGAACTCGACAGAACCTGCCACTACTGCTTACCGTTTCAGACCATGAATTATTGAAGAGGCAGAAGCCTCTAGGTCTTTCTCTGAGCCTCATCCATAAAGGCAGATAGCCTTAGCCACTGCCATCTGATTCAGGAATCTAGGCAGGCTGAACAGACAACTGGCTCTTCACTATTTCTCTTGCAGTGCGAGAGGATCTCTACCAACAGATCAGTACCCTACCCTGCCTGATATGAAGATGGTGTCCTCGCATGATAATTTTGCCTGTTTTGAAGCTCTATGATTTTACCCTGCAAATACAAAAGTTGGCACTGTGTCCAAAATTAAATATCCTGAGATTTTCAACTTCCTTTTTTAACTTTAGGGGCTGCAATTTTAAAATTTGAAAGGGTTTGAGCATCACCTGAACAAACTGCAGAAGCTGAAAAAGGGTGGAGCAGGATTTGCAGTGATCAGCAAGTAGAACTTCAGAATCACACAGTGGTTCAGGACTAGCAAGAATATTATGTATTATGCTAAATCAATATGCAGAAGCAGGGAATCCACGACTTGCAGGGGGCATTACATTTCCCCCTCTAGTGTTTCCTCTTTCCTTCCTGAAAGCCCTCATAACCTCTTGCCTTTCCCCGCATCCTCTCCTCCTTCCTGCCCACCAGCCAACCGACCTTTATCTGGCCCCCATCTGCAGCTTTCCCTCCTTCCCTCCCCCAGCAGCCTCTCCCTGGGAAAAGTCTAGCCCAGTTGAACAGTGCCAGCTACCAGGCTTGGCCAAGCTGTATGATGGTGAACCTGCAAAGACTTGTAAGCAGGGATTCAACCTGGGTCTCCCAGATCCTTATTGGAAATTCCAACCACCACAGCATAGTGGCTTTTGTGGGGTGGCTGCTGTTAAGTAGTGAGCAGCTGGGCCTTGGTAAGTCATGTAAAATGCATGATAGCAAGTTGCCCATCAGTGACTGCCAATGAGCCCTCCCTCAAAAGGCCACAACAGGATTGGAAATAGTCCTGCCTCCTCTCCCTGCCTTTTACTGGCAGCCACAGAGAGCATTTGTTTCTTAAAGCTGCTTTAAAAAAAACCCAGTGGGTTTTTTGGTATGCTTGTTCGTGTGTTTCAATTGCTTTAATCTGAGATTTTTTAAAGCAAACCTGGGGCATTTCTCAGGTCTGTGGAAAGATCTGTCTTATCTGTTCATGGTTCTAATCTCTGGATTTAAGTATCCACAGATCTGACCACATTGAGAACCAGATCCATTGATATGCCAACTTGCTTCATTTATTAAATTTATAATTTAGACTTTGTGTGTTAACTTCATATAGATTTTCTTTAGTGCTTGGTGTACTGGCTATAACATTAAGTTGGTCTGAAGCAGTAGAACAAAGTTTAAGTAAAGTGGTACCTTTAAGACCAACAAAGTTTCATTCAAGGCATACCTTGAATAAAACTTTGTTGGTTGTAAAGCTGCCAATGGACTCAAACTTTGTTTTGGCTATAACTTTGTTAGCCTCCAAATAATTGATCAGCACAATAAGTTGGTAAACATGTATAGATGTGTGTGCATGCCAGCACTCACAATCACCACAACTACAATCACATTCATTCAGCTTCCTGGCCAACTAAGACAGGGGGATTTCTCAATTTTACTAAGAGATTCTTATATGCCTCCCTTGGAGGAGAGCCTGCTTTCTCTTTGATTGTAACAGATTACGCAAATCTTGAAAACTAACTAAAGACAGTAAACCAGACAATGTCTTTTTTTCTAGCAAGATTCTTTCACATCCTAGTTGTGAAAGAATAAAACTAGGATGTGATTCATGAGTCTGCAAGTTAATATTCTATGGAACCACATTACCATAACATTTTATTAACATGCTTGTAGCATGCTATAACAGAAAGCACCATTTCCTTTTAATGCTTCAGGATCACTAGCCAAGAACTCATATTCAACACGAATATCCATTTGAGAAAACTGGGAGGGGTCTGTCACATATTCTGACCTAATATTATTTTCATATTTCCTACCTTTTTCATACTAGAAAGTCTGAAAGAAATATAGAAGCTTAAGTACTACAAAACCTTTCAAGATTTGTTCTTTAGAAATACCATCAATTAAGTGGTTTTCTAGAAAAAATTACTTGGGAAGTTTTCTGAAATCCTAAACAGAGTATTAATACATTTATTCAGATTAACATGCAGTAGACGACAATTTTAAAGTACAGAGAGAGGAAAGATCTGATTTCGGAATGCTTTTAACTGGCATAGATCCATGAAGCTGCATTAATTTACTCCAGCTAGTCTATAATGTTTTGCTGCAATTATTATTTGATCACAGTTGCAAACTAAGCATAGGACATGATCAATTGGAACAAAACACTTTTAACTGCGTATAGCCAACTAAAATGAAGCAACCTGTCTGCAATTAACTATGAGTACATGGCATCATACAGAAAAAAAGCACAAGCTGTCTGACTGGGATCCAAAGAAGGAGTACTGAAATTAGAATACATTTTGCATAGTATAATGTAATGTCGGTTACTCTTCCATAACCCCATGAGTTAGAAAAATGCTGTGAAATGCAGTAGAGGACAGTTTTGTACAGATGCCCCCTACTTGTGCAAATGCTGTCATTTTTATTTATTTACTTCATCTATAGCCCATCTTTCTTGCTGAGACTCAAAGTGGATTACAGATTATAAAAGAACAATTCAATCAGATCGCATAAAACATCCAATAAACAAAGTAGTAAGACTAGGATTACAGGATTAGAAAACAATGTAAATGAACAAACTGGTCTAAGGCATGACAACGTAATGCAGAAAGTGGGTTACAGAGGTAGAAGGCAATGCAATTTAAAACAAGGTGACAGATACGGTGCAATAGATTACAATCCTATTCCCTTATCAAAGTGAACTCCTGAGTTGTACCATTATACTATAATTCTCATATCCATAAGATTTATAATTCACAAGAATTAAACAAATACCTCTTAAAATATCTGGCTTTAATTTATCATGAAATCTGATAATCTGTTTTACTAATATTTTTCACATTGATAAAAATAAAATCTAATGAAGCATCCAATGTATTGTATCTTCTAATTTCTATAACCTGTCCTATTGCTGTGGTCAAGCTGAGACCTCTTTTTTTAAAAAAAAAACCGGTGGGAAAATGGCCTCTAATGAGTTCTGCACAGGAGGAGCGAATTTCTATAACCTGTCCTATTTGCTGTGGTCAAGTTGAGACCTCTTTTTAAAAACAACCGGTGGGAAAACGGCCTCTAATGAGTTCTGCACAGGAGGAGCTCCCCTTGGAGTGTTGAAAGTACCAGAATTGCTGTAAGAGAGCCTCTGGTGGCTGCCCTGTGCAAACACAGTCCCAGTGTGGGACTGCACAGAAGACTGAAGATGAAGAACTCTTGGTTGTCTTGGTTGCATCAGATTAATATGCTTAACAGGAGGTGCATATTTTTGTAAACTGTGAAAGGTATTTTTTAAAAAATCTCACCTAAATTGTTCTAAAGTAATAAATTTATTCTTCCATTATTGATGATTCACAAAGCATGTTATCAATATGGCTGGGTGGTGTGTGTGTGTGTGTGTGTGTGTGTGTATAAGATGCAAAACAGCAACATTCACCAGCAGGGAGATTATCATGCTTCAGTACTACAGGGAAAAGCCTTCTGCATCCATCCTCTGATTTATTTTTTGCAGATTCTTTATGATTGGATTCTAATTTCATGGCAAATAGCTGATATTAAGACAGTAAAATGGATGACAGATAAAACTCTGGCTATTTGGTTAAAGGAAATCATCCGACTGATAATGGTAAATTCTGGATACAGAGCTGAATACAATGCTGAATGTATTTGATTCTAAAGATACTACATTAATACAAAATAAGTATTACAGCTTTGTGAAAAAAGAGATGATCGATAAAGTAACAATAATTTTCTCACAATACCAAATTTAATAAAGGGAAATATTACCTACCAGCTTCTCAAAGTTAACAAGGTTATCCAGAAAAGTTTTATTTCCTTCATGTATAAAAGTTACATCTAAAAAACAAAACACATCATTTTCACTTTATGCTCAGCAACATCATGGAAACTGCATTAAAATATACCGGTGAGTATTGTTACATTTTATACTATATCTGTTCCTAAAACAGAAGTGTTTTAGAAAATTGAAGTGACCTGACATTTACATTATTGCATCACTGCCTACCCATTTCATTTTGAAATCCACTGTTCATAAATTTAAACCTCTAGGTTTTTGGGGGGAGGTTAGGTTCTTTGAAAGATGGGTCCTTTCATTCTCCACCCACTGAAGCATAACAGCTCTTGATTGAAACCAAGAAAGAAATAGGATTGGCTTTGCAGCAAAGCTTCCCTAAACAAGGCTATCTCACCATCTGGGGCATGTCAATTAAGTTATAAGGACGCCAACTTCCAGGTGGGACCTGGGGATCCCCCCGAATTACAGTTCATCTCCAGACTACAGAGGTCGTTCCCCTGGAGAAAATGGCTGTTTTGGAGGGTGGACTCTATGGCATTGTACCCCACTGAGGTCCCTGTCCTCCCCAGGCTCCACCTCAAAACCTCCAGGAGCTTCCCAACCTGGAGTTGGCAACCCCACCCCACCCCACTGGTGGCCAGGGAGGACCTGGCAACCCTAATTAAGTATGATGTTTCTGCTTTTGAATCAATAACAAACAAGCTACAAAGGCTAAAACACACTGTCTTTGACTGACAGGGTCCCAAAGCACTAGGGCAGAGATGAATAACTAGTGCATCAGGACAAAAAAATAAAACTTGTTGAAAAATAACACCCAAGCCTTCAATTGCCAACCTGAAAGGTGAAAGAAGTGGGGAGGTTGTGAAATGGTCTGTCAATAAGACTTGCTACTGGGCCATTTGCAGGTGCAAGACCATCAATTGTCACTGTCCTAAGTATCCCTACAGTTACTTGCACTAGCAATTTAATCTGTGTCATCATATACAGCTCTGCAAATGTGCTCTCCAAATGCATTAAACCTCATTTGGGGCTGGCCTCAGCCAAGCAGGCACTCTGAATGCAGCTCTGTTCTTCCCTCCTCCCATACTGTTTTGTGCTCTCTCCAGCCTCCACTCCTGGAACCCAGGTGCAACATCATATATATATATACTCCTACCACACTAGCTTGCTTGCCCCATCACTAAATCAAAAAGGTGGTGAAATTGTTACTGTCAATGTTAATAAAGTAAACTGCTGAAGACTGAAGAGGATTTTTTTCACATGTTCTTTAAAAACTGCAGGGAAAACCTTTGGGAGGGGAGGGAAAGAATGCAAGAAGAAAAGAAATTTGCTTTGCTGCCAAAACGCATGAGTCTAGATAAATTCAGTGGAGCAGAAAATTGCATCTGAGCTACAATGTAAAAGCGAAACAGTGTTTTATTAAATATTTGAAAATACCAGCCAGATATCCAAAAGCAGTGTCTGTGAAACAACAAGGCTTAGTACAGAAATTCAATTAACTTAAAAGGGGTATTGCTTTCCCTGTTAAGGGTTATTTCAAGCTTTCAGCAATACCTATATGACTTATTCTTACTTAGAGGTATTAATTCTCCTCTCCTTTGCTTGATGAGCCCAGCCAGGGTGGCTGAACTGTGGATCAAGTCCAAATCACACAGTGATGTTTTTGTTTTACCCTTCTTTCTAGTCATGTAAGCAAGCATTTGTGCTTAAAACCATAATTCAATGCTATTTGTGGATTACAGATATCAAGACAACCATGTAAGCATACTGTAAGGACCATTCCCTTTCATATGATCCTGTTTGAGCATGGAGATGTCCATTGTAGGTCCTCTTCTAACTATCTGAGGTAAGATGCATGGCCGTAAGGAACAGGGTCTCTTATAAGGTGGCACTTTGGTTACGGAACTCCCACCCAACTGCTGTTCACCTGGCACCTTCTTTTTTAAAAAATTTAGGCATGAGGTAAAGATGTGTTTGTTCTTCTGGGCCTTTGTAAATTAGGTGTTGTTTTTGTTTGTTTTGTTTCTTTGCATAGGCTTCGGATCTGTAATGGTAAATTTGTTGACTGAATACATTTGAATGGTTTGCAGCTAATTTTTTAAATATTTGTAGTGTTTAATGGGAGGGAAGGCAGCATGGTACAGCCTGATCTTGTCAGATCTCAGAAGCTAAGCAAGGTCAGCCCTGGTTAGTACTTGGATGGGAGACCATCAAGGAAGACTGCAGAGGAAGGCACATTCTCCCTTGCTTAGAAAGCCCGTTGCTGGGGTCACCACAAGTCAGCTGCGACTTGATGGCACTTTACACACACACATTGTTTAATAGCTAGGAGGTGTGTGTTTAACTGCTGCTACTTCATTGCTATTTTTATTATTGTTGAGTGTTTTAAGTCTGTATTCTTAACTGCTGCTATTTTATTACTGCTTTAACTTCTGTTGGATGTTTTAGTCTGTACGTTGTTATGGCTTTCACTGATGTATTGGTAAATTGATTTAATTTTGTTTTCTCTGTACACTACCTTAAGAGCTTGTTTTGTGTGTGTTTGTGTGGTCAGGTTTTTTTGTTTTTGCTCTTTTATAAACTTTTTATTAAGATTTTCATGTGAAAATAAAATTGAGAAAAAAATACAGAAAAATGGGGGGAAGCAAAAGAAAAAGGATTGGAGGAACATATCCTTAAGGAACGTACAAAATTTTCTCCACTGCAAAGCAGAATACAATCACTTAATACTAAATTAAAAATTTAAACATAACCACCTATTCTAATATCATAAGCAATACACCAATACAACATACTGCTATGAGGCAGTATGTAAATAGTTCAACCAAGAATAACATATACAGTGCAGCTTTGTATCTGGAAAGATAGGATATAAACATAATAAATAAATGAGCACCCCAAAGATAATAATAGTGCTGTTGGTAGTTGAAGCCACTTCATATGCAATGCAAGTTCATTGCAGGATTGCATTTGTAGGCCATATGTCCATGTTGGAGCCTCTTGCATTTGTAAATACTTTATTACCTACATCAGGTCAATAATGTGGAATATCTCCACTAGCACCACATCGTCCTGGGACTGCCAACAGATAGTCCCCATCATTGGCACAACATGCTACCCAATGAATGTACTACAATTGATTGTGAGCCATAAATTCTCACAAGCCTTGCTACACTGTGGAAGGCTATGCTATCACTACTCAAGTACACTTCACCATAGCAACACATGGGGATACCTGGAGCCCACAGTCCACATGGATCAATTGTTGTATCACCACCAATACCACTACTACTGTAACTCTTCTAACAAGTCACAAAACTTGGCACCCTGCTCCTAACCCTAACTGTGACAGCTGTAGGACTGATTTGCTGGACAGTACCTGGGGAACGCAGTCTCTCAACCAGAGTTTGGCTTTTTAGTGCATTAAATATGGGAGGCACAGCACAGCAGAGTCCTTTAACAGATTATATCCTAACACTAAGCTTTTGCAAATAAGAAGTCATCATTATCTTCTATGTCTTTCAAAACATGAGTGAATTAATGTCAGGGTTTTAATTCCTTGCTTACAAAAGCAGGTACCTATGGCAATGGAAGCTGATTGCTGACTCATCCTACAAATCGGTTGCATACATAGCTCTCCAAAGGAGACTGTGGAAGTTGGAAGCAAAGTGAGTGAATGAGTAAGGGGGGGAGGGGTATCTAGTTTACAATTCCATTAAGCGAATTAAGTGGATTATTCACAATGTTGTCCAATTTACTTTTCACTAAGATAAACAGACAGTAAACAACGATATGTTTTAACACAAAGTTAGGGAAGTTGGAAACAAAGGCTGATTATCAATCATATAGTAGGATGGAACTATCAAGAGAACTGAAGTGCTTGGCAGTAATATTGACACTGTAATGTATTCCTTTAAAGATGCACCCAAGTGTGAACTATATCCATTACACTTAGCTTCCAGGGATACAAGGTCACTAGCACAATCCAGTGCAAGCCATCTTGTTGGGAATTTGGTATTAGTATTGCTAGTCACCGTTTGATCTATTATTTATAGTAGATAGCTTTCATCACAAGGAGACTGCATCTATTAGTCAGGCAAAACAAAAGAGAACATATGGTACAACAGCACAATAGAGGAATCTCTATCGCAGATTTAAATTCTTGGACAACAGTACAGACAGTAGGGCAGTAACAGCTCTTAAATCCATATTTTATTATTAACAGTGACATATCACTGTTATTGAGAAACATGCTATAAATATATGGAAAAGAGAATATTTACTGGAGAGGAACACGGATATTGATCAAACTAACCACTCCTAGCTCCCAGCCGAAAAGCCTCCAGCTGAAAAGAAGAATCTTTAGTCAGATTTTATTGGCTGCTCATTTGCCAGCCCATGACCTCTTTTCTTGATCTTTTTCTTGGCTATCTATAACATGTTCATACATTTTCAATAAAGACATATTAGTGGTCCAAAATATATGTTGAATACTACTTTCATTGCACACATTTTGTCAGTAACTTATGAAGTCTATGGAAAAAGTTACACCAATAAAATGGCTCAAAAGATATAATATTACCTTTAAGGAGTAAAGGCATGAAGGGGATTTTTGGAGACTTCATTTTCTTGAATGCATCTCTATAGGCTTTGTGATTCAGGGAAGGGTCCTACCAATACAAATTGATTGTAAGGAAAGGAAAGAAGAAAAACCAATATGCTTTCTAAAAGAACAATCTGAAATCCATTTGATGCCCTTGAACTCAACATGTCTTAGATATGGAAGGTTTCCGTGAAATATGAGACAGATAAAGGTTTTATAAAGAATGATTGACGGAATGAACCAAGATATGCTCAAACACGTATGAAACTACCATGCCCCTTCCCTTGTAAGATGCATAGTCTTCCAGAAAGCTGAGAGTAGGAACTCTCAGCTCTAAAAGTCGTTGTTTTCATTATTTAATAACACAATTAGAAAAAAGCATGTTTTTTTCTACAGAAAGCATTATACTTACTGTCAAACTTTCAAGTTCAGCGAAGAGCTTCTTAAACTTCCCTGGGATTCTCTATGATAACCAGGGGGAAAATTAGGAGAAACTGAACTACAAGTAGTCAGGTATGCAAAAGCTCCCCACCCCCACCCCAGCAACAGTCTTTCACATGTGTGGTATGTTTAAAGAAAAAATATCGAGAGGCCACTTTCTCTGGTAGTTACTTCTTTCTTAGTACCATAATTCCCCATTATGAATATTGTCATCTTGCCTTTTGAGATACCCCAATTCATCATTATTTTAAAAAAATTGCTTTCCTAAAATGCTAATTTTATTCAGCAAGATCTGTCTACTTCATTTTTCTTAAGATTTTCCATAATAGTTAAATGAAAGAAGCATTTCTAGCACCATGCTAACACTAGCCCTGGTTCACTATCTGTAGCATTATTATATTTGGTGCAGAGAGGATAACTGCTGCATGGGGGAGGTTGATTTTTTTTTTTAAAACAGAGGGGGATATGCTTTCAAGCGCTCAAGTGGTAGAGTAACAATCACAGACTACTAAAAGGCATGGGGCATTGCTGCAGAAATACAGTAACTATCTGGTACTCACCAGGTTTTAAACACTGGAGGGAATGTGCTACTCGTAACAGTGATGTCAAAGATACTAATGGGGTGTGACACATACAGCAGTGTTTCACACAGCATTCTGAGGCAGAAAATATTTGTTATCTTGAGAAAAATATCATTTCCTCCCAATGGAATGTTGCTTGGACAGGTCAATATTCCCCTGAAGCAAACAGGTGAGGCTTGCTTATATAGGACTAGCCTGATACCCATGCTTCGCTACAGTATTTAAGTTCCGTAAATCCAGTTATAATACTATGATGTGAAATTTGAAATGTGACATTTGTTGTAGGAATTCTAATGGAGAAGATTGTCATGTAAGAAATGAAGCGAGACATGCGTACTTTTCTCTCTCTCTCTAGCCCACATTGGTGGTTCTGCTCTCAGGTGCTAGGATCACCAGGCTGCTTGATGAACTCACTCTGGAGCAGGCCACATGGAACTGTCCATTTAAGAAGCAGTCGTCTGTTAAGTCAACTCCTGCTACCTTCCACGAAAGTGATGGCCTCTCTACTGGTGTTCCTGGATTGTTTTGCTCATATGGAGACTGTGTTGTTCTGAGCACCTCAGGGTGATCTTGCTGGTACTTGGCCTGTGCAGCTCAGTGCACTGCAGGAGTACTATCGGCAAATGTCTTTGCTGCATTCGTAAGTTCCCTCCTTGTAGCATTGGTGTATCTCGCACGATGTTTGCCAGGAGCTTTCTTGGGGGCAGTAAGAAGTGAGAGGTGTGAGGGGGAGTTGGTGTGAGGCCAGAGTGGTGATGTGGTGGACATTTCTTCAGGTTCATGAGGGAGGCACACATCGAAATGGCTCCGAGAAATGTCCTTTACTCTCTCCCCATAAACATTCATACCCTGGCCCTGCTCCTACACCTGACAGCCTATCTGGTGTTGGGGGGGATTGTATTTAAAGGCATTGGGGAGTAGGAAGGGGGAGGAGTTTGTGGGACGCCACCCCACCTCCTCTCCTACAACTGACAGGCAGCTGCCTGTGCAATGTAGGTGGGGGAAGGGGGAGGAGTATTAGAAGCCACTGTGGAGGTGGAACTGCACCTGACAGACAGCCGCCTGTTAGGTGTAGGAGGTGGGGGGAGTATGTTGGAAGCCACCCTACCTCCTCTCCTACACCTGACAGGCACCTGCCTGTCCAGTGTAGGAGGGGGGAGGAGTATTAGAAGCCATGGTGGAGGTGGGGCTGTACCTGACAGACAACCGCCTTTTAGGTGTAGGAGGGTGTGTTGGAAGCCATCAGAGAGGCTGGGCCAGCAGCTTTGCTTCACGGCACAGGTGGTTCTTGGCCACTCCTGATTTCCTCAACTGTCATTAGCTGTCTGCAGTCCCCTGTAATTGTTGGCTTTCTTTACCTCAGAACACTGAGCTCTGCAGCTGACCAATCAGAGAGTGGTGGGGTGCAGAGAGTCAGCTGCCTAGCAGCTGCATAGGAATCAATGGGGGGAGTATATTTTCCCCCTTTTGACCCACTTAGGAGTCGAATTTCTAAAATTCCCTTCTTAGCAAGCAACTACGCCACGGTAGGAGCGCTGTCCCCGAATTTGGTGTCTCTAGGTCCAGTGGTTTGGCCTGGGCGTTGATTTTACGGTGAGGGGACTTTCTTTTATATATACACAAATGGCTATTATTCAGCCAGACAATCACTGGCTCATGCCTTATTTGAAGAGGGACTGGGGCAAATTAATCCCCAGATTCATAGCCATGAATGCTTCTTTCCTTAACTCCATCAAAACTAAATCTCCCTCCCCAGACCCACCCAGAGTTAAACACTCTATATTCCTTTTCATGGAAAGGTTTGGTAAAATATTTCTCTTCAGATACTCTGATTTACATTATCTTTCTATCAAACAAAATCAGACTTAGATTAAGCCTTCTGTAGTCAGGTCTACTCTATAAAGTAACAGAAGCAGCACTAGGAAGCATCACTAGTTTTCTGCACAAAATAACATCCACTGATATGTAATTAATTTGTACAAGAATAAACATTCTGGCTTGGATTCTAAGCACTCCAAGTACAGCCATTCACAAGAACTAAACTTCCCTGAATCCATCTCCCACTGCAATTTTCTATGTTTCCTATTGTGCTCCTGTGGGTCAGTGGATTCCTAGGAACAGTGAGGGGGACAAAGTGGAAGTCTGCAGTGTGGGGGGGGGTCACACCTCCTCCTCCACAAACAGAAACATCATTCCATTGGAGGAGTTGCTATTCTGCAGGCAGAACTGCTCCTTCGGATCCAAGCCTCTCATTTTTATCTGTCTTCCATGTGAGTTTGATCAATATATGAGTAAAATCTAAACATGACAAATGTAAAGAATGAAATTCACCAACAAATCTTGGGAAATGCTGTCCTCTTCTTCACTGCACAAACAACCTCGTACTTAACAGGAGTGCTGCCTCATTCCCTCAGTTTAGGATTGGCACAGTCTTAATACTACCCAAATGCTATCTATGATTTGGCAACCATGCCAAGTTGTGGAACTGTGTTTGTTAATTAGCAGTGTTTCTTCTCATCCAGTCATATACACCAGTGATCTGTTCTTTAAAGAAAGGAGCAACTGGACAGACTAATCATCTTAAAATGCTTTAGCCAACTGTGCAATAGTATTTTTTTTTTGCTTTGGTTATTTTACTTTTAAATATGTTCCAATATCTTATTTAATGTGAGACTGAGCTCTTTCTGATGATCTGATGCCATAAAGAGGCCGCTTGAAACTACCTCTATGTGGGAACTGAGTCTGCTCTATTTGGCAAGCCATTGTTTACATTCTAACTCACCATATATTTGGGCTCTGCGTTATATGATTTCATCTCATGCTGATACCAACAATATTTTGCAACCCAGCAGACATAATCCACATAGGGATCATTTCACAGAGCAAGGCAGTAGAAACCAAATAAGCTCTCCATGTGAAGCAGAGCCAACCAACTTCTGTGCTGCAACCTATATAATGAATTTTACCACGTCACAGCCCGTTTCAGCATAAGTAGTTTAATGTCTGAGATCTTCCTTTGTTTTATCATTCCATTTTTTCCCTGAGAATTTTAGCGGCTTTTGCATGATTTGTGTTGGCAATTAATTGTACCTGCTCGTTGCTTTCATGGTTTAATACAAAGACAATATGACAAAACAAACATCTGAAAGAACTTTTAAAAAAATATCAATGTAGTATTCTTATTACCTCCCATGTCTGCGAAAGCCGGCTGACAGATGCAGTGTTGAGACCCATAACAATGGCAAAGAATGAGTTCAGATTTCTTTGGGCTTTGCAGCTAAGACAAGGAAAAATGTGTCATTTCCTGTTTATATATAAATCTTATATTATTTGGATGGAAGGATATGCTACACTAACTGTTCCAATCATATTACACCAACAAAGCTGTCTTTTATGCTTACCCAACTGAGTACAAGTCCGATGAGATGCCCCCAAGACTACTGTTCTTCTACCTTCCTCATCCTTTGTAGTTCTTTTCCTACCTCAATCTTATTGTCAGAAGCAAAATTTATCCCAAACTCCTTTTCACTCATGTTCAATATAGTGCCATATAGAATTAATTTTTCTCTTCCACAGTTTGGAAATATTTTTATACCTAGTTACAGTCAATATTCCCCTGACTTGCTCAGTCTTGTGCCATTTTATTTTATTGGGGGGGGGAAATGCCCATGCACTTTTTCATCCCTGTTGCTGTGATGTCCATGAACATTAAAAATACTATTTTTAATACTCCCTGGGGCATGCTGATGCATATGAATGCCTGCCTTTAACAATAACTATGGAATAAAATCCATTTTAAGACATTGCTGTGAACTACTTCAGATTAAAATATATTTTAAACTGGATGTGCTCTCAAATGCCTGCTTTTTAAAATCTATAAACTGTCCCTGAATATTTTGGTGACTTTCAAGTTCTACACAAACAGCCAAATTGGGTGGTGCTTTTAAAGGCTTTAATGTTAACAAAATGTGTGTCCCCCCCAATTCTTGTTCTAGTTAAAACTTGAGCTGAAAGTTCAAATTTGTCATATTCACATGGTTGCAATCTTGCTTTTAAGTTAAAGTAGCTACATTGCACATAATCATAGATACATTTATCATTTATTGGACACGGTGGCATATTTCTTCCTACTGCTTAATTTCCCTATTACAAACAAAGACAATCTCAGAAATAGCCAACCTTGTTCCTGTTTCTTTACTTTGAAATTAAAATTCACTAGTTGCTGTATTTGGAATTTATCTAAATTAAATCTCTCAGAGTGTTTCTTGTACTTATCCCTATATAATTATTACATCTTTTTCTGCATCCACCAGTCTATAATGCAGTTTGTAACTAGACAATTTAGTTAACATTCACCACATTTATTCCACTGAGTAGTAACTGGGTATTATGTTCCACATTCATATTACTAGCACCACCCAACAGGGGTATGTGATATGCATGCTGACCACATTCTATATGGCAGTTGCATAACTAATAGTAAAGCTGTCTGGTAGAAGAATCTCAGTTCTCTAGCAGCCAAAAAAAAAGTAGTTTTTATTCCTGAAAAAAGCAAAAAAAAATTAAAAATCAATTGTTGGGTAATACAGTCCATTTTAGTATTTGATAACTGTGGAAATTAAGTGCAGCAGGTACTTTAGTTCAGATGACAGAACATCCAGTAAAAAGTATTCATATAAAAAGGACTGTGAAGAATTCACTGCTAGCAGCAAGAGGAAGTCAAATAAAATAAATGTTGTTGTTGTTCAGTCGCACAGTCGAGTCCGACTCTTTAAAATCTATAAACTGTCTAAACAAATGTAAACAAATGTACTTTACTGCTAAACACTATTTTAATGACTTGTGCCCTTGTGCGAAATACTAAAGATTAAAAGAGAAAAGAAGTTGGGTAATAAAACACAGTTCTTACTTAATCGCTGTCCTATACACACACACCCCTCATAGTATGTGAACAAACTACAATGGAGTGGTAAGAATTGGTTACTACACACTTAATTTTGGACAAAGTACATTACTGTTATTTTTCACATATTGTTTTATATACACATCACATTGTAGTAACTAAAACATGTAACACAGCAATAGTTTCTCTTTAATTATCTATCACATTATTTTTAGAGATTGAATATATTCAACAGAGGATTCCCATTGCATTTAACTTACTGTGCAGCAATCTTAATGAATTTTTTCACTAGTTGCACACGTTTACATAGCTGGTTGCAGAGGAGTATTTCTGTGGCAACCCAGAGTTGAACTTCATTGCATCTTTGAAGCAAAAGGCTAAGATTCACAGTGTTTTCCTCACTGCCCTGTCTGCTGAAGGTGAAGTATATCAGCTCTTGCTGGAAGGAAGTTACACAGTAATTGGATTTGTAATAAAATGCATTATCAGTGTTTAACAAATCTGAAACATAACTGTTGATACTGAATGAGACAACTCATTTTAATGATTTATGAATGAACCTTAAACTGTTTAAACAGAATCAAGACTCGCTGGGTTTTTTTTAGATATTCAGCAACTATTCAGCTATGAAAAATGCAAAAAGAATTGTATCTGACTTGGCTTTCATTAATTGTAACTGTGTTTCAGTCTGAAAATTATTGAATTTACTTTAGAGAGCAAAATGAAATCTGGTGGTCATTTTTTCCTTCCTCAGAATCATAAATTAATGGGTCGGATCTAATGATTCCTTCTCTTAATGGAGAGAGGCCGTGACTCAGTCGTAGAGTATTGACTTTGTATGCAGAAAGTCCTAAGACCCCTGGCACCTTCAGTACGACAGCAGGTGATATGAAAGACCTCATACTGAAACCCTAGAGAGTCAGTGCCACTCAGACCTTGATATGTCAATGGCCTGATTCAATAAAAGGCAGCTTCATGTGTTCATATACGTTCCCTCCTTCAGATTCTCTAAATTTCTTCAGGTGATAACAATACTTTTCTTACATCTATTTATTTATTTATTTCCTTATACCCTACCTTTCACACCAATGGGGACCCAAAGCAGCTGATATTGTACTTTTCTCCTCCATTTTATCCTCAACAACCCTGTGAGATAGGTTCACCTGAGACTGTGTGCTTGGTGGAAACTTAGATTCTTGGCTGTAGACTACTAGTGGACTGGTTGCACGTAGTCTACTAGTGGACCCAATTGTGGGGGAAGGTGGCTGTATGAGTACCAAATGTTTGGTTAAAAATCAGCCAAGCAAAACAAGAGCATTGATTACTGTAAGCAAGTTACACCATCACTTCTTACCTCATGAACCAAGTTGAAAAGACTCCAGTCAAAAGATGTTAATTCCAAAGCGAGGTCCCAAGTGTTAATTCCCAGAATTCTCACTGATCTTTGCTGGGCTTCATCATTTTCAGCAAAATGGTTCTAAAACAATATATGGATAGCAGGAGTTCCTGAGCAAGCATACATTAATTGAATTCCTAAGCAGTGTTGTATCCTTCTAAATTCATTGACTTCAATGACTTAGAAGAGTGTAAGTCTTGTTGGACTGCACTGTTACTTCCCCTAAACTGTGCAGAAAAAATTAGGTCCCTAAGACTGAAACAACTTTCAGTACTAAGATCAATGCTCCCTTACTGTATTAGACACCCTCGTATTTCTAAGAATGAATTAGGGGACAGAAAGAAGCCAAGAACATACAGCTAAGGAAACATATCATGTTAAACCCAACATTCTCAAACAAGTTCAGCCTACGGTCTCAATTCAGGCAACAGGTCTTCAGCTACAGGAAAAGTTTGTTGCTAGTATCTATAAACAAGTACACTAGATTTATATCACCCCTGTGTTCAATATGCCTCTATCCAGAACAACATTTTATATAAAACTATCAGTTTCATGATTTAGGAAACACACTTGATGATCAACAAACTGTGAACCCAAATACCTAATGTGAATACCAAATACCAAACACAGCCTAATATCACCTTTGTTACCTGAGAAAGGCAGTCTATATTCTTGATTTTGAAAAAGATTTTAAGAACTCTGGAAAACTGAGGGTAATCTGGTGTATAAGCGAACTATTCAAATGTAAAGGAATCTTAAGCCCCAATCCAATGCACCAGAAATAAATCCCACTGATTTCAGTTGAATTTACTCCTTGGTAATTGTACACAGGATTGAAGTCTTATTGAGATACGTGATCATTTAAGGGTCATAAATGCTACTTCATTTGAATAGTGAGAGTGTAGCCATGGTATTTGACCCCTCAGAAGCTGGCACATCTAATAGCATCTGTGAAACCTGAATGTTGGAGGGATGTGGTCAGCATGGAACGTATCTTCATTGCTGGTTAGATTGTCCAATTTTAGAGACGTTTTGGAAAGATGTTATAGCACAAATTAGGACAATAACAGGAGTTGTATTGCAGTTTACAATAGAACATATTATTTTAAACCATTGGATAATGGAAATTGGATTGAATAGTATTAGTAAAACAGTAGCCATTTTACTTGCAGCAGCTAAAAATACAATTGCAGCCAAATGGAAAAATATCATTGGCCTTAGTAGACAGAATTGGTATTCCAAATTATGGAATATGTACACAATGGCAAAAATAACAGATAATATTAATTACACATACACCCTCTTCTAAGTCTGATTTTGTTTCTGTTTAGTTTCCTATCTTAGAACATTTATCTCAACAAGAGGAAATACCGAGTATAATTGATAAGTTACACCTTTGGTAATATGTTCTCTGTTTATCAAAGTTTGTGAGCATATGTTTTACATAATGTAATGTAATTTATTCTGCCTGCTATGTATTATATGTTGGGTTTTTTTGAAAGTTTAATAAAAAATACACTCGTGAGAGTGTAGCCATTTTTTCCACAGTATATTAGAAAACCCCAGCCTCCAAGATGTCTTAGAGGAACGAGGCACACATCCTTACCAGAGCATCTGTTAGATCCTTTCGGAAAACAAACATTCGAGCAGAAGATTCAAGAGCCTTGGTGATCGCCATGTCATTTGGTTGTAATTCATGCTTTTCTTTAATAGAAGTGAAGGGAGAGGAATCATAAATACTACATTTTGACTTTTAAACTTATTAAAAACAAATCCACTTTATTTTATTTATTTAATTAATTTATACCCCGCCTATCTCTCCACTGGGGACCCAAACTTACATCATTTTCCTTTCCTTTCCATCATTTATCCTCACAACAACAACCCTGTGAGGTAGGTTATGCTGACAGAGTGTGATGGACCCAAGGTCGCCCAGCAAGCTTCCATGGCATAAGTGGGGATTCAAGTTTGGGGCCTTCCAGATACTAGCTCTACATTCTTAGTCACTACACCACACTGGCTCTTTATCAATAATTAACTGTACAAAAGAGTTCTAATTGGCGGACCTACCCAGAATTTCTCTAGAGATTTAGCTATCAGCCCTATCTTGTTCACCTTGCACCACCCTCGGTCCCCTAGTGCTAGCTGTTGTGGTGCAAATGCAGGTTGACAATGCAACAGCTACTACAGCATCACTTGCGAAGCAAAAAAGTTGAGGAGTGAAGTCTAGATGTGTTCTGTTTGATTTTATAACCCTACTAATCACACACAACTTTTGCCAACTCAAACTGTTTTAGGTAGACAAAGCTGGCTTCAAAGTCCATCTACAAACGCTCTCATTGCAACACTCCAACAAACTGTAAAGGCTTGCTCCTAGAGCTGGGACAATACAGCCTAACTCATATTGCAATAGCACAGAGGGTGGGGCCCTGACCTAGCACCAAAGAAATGGCCAAATTATTCTCAGCAAGGTACACAGGATCCATGTGTGCAAAAAACATGCAAACTAAGGTTATAATATACCAGGTATACCTCCTGCACACATCTCATTAAAACAACTGACACAGATCTTGTTCTATTTCTGTTCATTTCTAAGAGCTTGTGCGGGAAAGGGGCCCAAGTGTATGCTGTATGGTTATGTAGTTGCTCACTATAAGAAGCAGAAATTCACACCCACATTTTGAAATTGGTAAACACAACAAAATGGAAACATTCTAGATTGACTATTCACTCTCTTCAGTTTCATGACATGGGGTGTCTACATATCCTAGGCATGTATTCCCTACTTCAGAGATGTAGTGTCAAATCCATTCTCTGTAGACTTTTGATGGATCCCATCACATTTATGTCTAACCCATTTTCCTTTGTGTTTTCCTTTGATAGTCTTATAAAGGTGTGAACAGTTTTCCAGACACCCAAGATTTTCAGTAAAATATACTGAGATTAGATAGGTTCAATTGATCAAGCACAGTGGCTTGCAAACTGTGTATTTTTTTAAGCCCCCGGAGGGGATTTTTTATTGATTTTTTAAACACTACCAAAACTAGAACAGAAAAAAGGGAAAGGGAAAGCTACATATAAGGGAGAAAGTAAAGAACCCACTACTAACTAAAAACCCAAGAGAGGAGATCTCCAACTAGCTTTTTATACTTCATTCAGACTTTTCATCTTTGTACTTCTTATGAACTGTGTCAATCTTTTAACCCTTTTAACCATCCCCAGTTACACTTAATTGCCCAATAACAGTGTATTTTTATTTTAAATGGGAAGTGATCATTCTGATTTCTTCAGAACAAGAGATGAAAAAAAACTATAGATGAGAGTTCCTGAACCCTCCACACACGGAAAACTTAGGAAGGAACTGATCTGTATCAGCAGGGGGATGAGCGAGAAAGGGATCATGATGGATGCACAAAATTTTTTTGTCTGGATTTGGATTTGGGTGTTTTAGACCCAAAAATATTTGATATTCCTGAACATTTCCAAATACCAGTGTTGCCATTGTACTGGTATTTGGGTCAATAGGGTAAAATGGAGAATTTCACTCATTGAGCCATGTTGAGTCTGACTCCGTGAGTGAAGTGATTTAAAGTTTAAACACCTTCTCTGCCCTCCCGGAGTTGTGCTACAGCTGCGGTGTGACTCCATGACTCAAGGGAACAGGTTTAAAGTTTAAATGCTTTCTCTCCCCTTCCAGAGTTGGGGCACAGCTGCAGCATGACTCCATGACTGAAGGGAAGGGGTTTAAACACCTTCCCTCCTCTCCTGGAGTTGGGCCGCAGCTGCGATGCAACTCCAGGAGGGAAGGGAAGGCATTCACTTGTGAAGTTGCACTGCAACTGCAACCCAACTTCAGGAGAAGGCATTTAAATTATAACCCCATCCCCTTCACCCAAGGAGTCACGCCACAGCTGCGGCAAAACTCTGGGATGGGAGGGAAGGCATTTAAAGCTTAAATGCTTTCTGAACTTGCCAAGTCCCATGGAAACAGCAGCAGGACTCAGCAAGTAGCTGTGCCCGAATAAAAGCCAAATAATATCAGCTTTTATTTGGGTGGGGCTACTTCAGTAGCCAGCTGAATAAATACCTGAAAAATACTGATAAGGTTTTTTGGGATATTTATTCAGTTCGGTATATACCGAGCGTACACCCCTAATCATGATGCTGTCTCCCTTTGTGATGCATTTGGGGATAGGGGAAAAGGCTATATAAGGGACATTAGGTGCCCCACCCCTTCTCTTTTTGACCACCAACAAGGGAGATAGAGGACAGCAGGAGTAACAGAGCAGGGGCATACATGGACAAACAAGGATATAGGTGGGACATTTACTGGGAGCTGATGTATTTTCACATTTATCTCCTTCCTCTTCCAGAGGACCCTTCTTCTGTACCTATTCTGCTGCCAACTCCTTTGTTCTCTGCATCCAGCAAACCCTCTGATAAGCAGCAGTAGTTTAGCTTTTCCAGCACAGGACCCCCTTTTCTTTTGTTGAACAAGCTCTTCATATGGTTTCTTAAGGGATGGGAAATAATGTGGGATGCCCTTTATATTCCACTCCAAAGGAAGGCTGGGATGTTACTTTGAATTCAGCCAATAGTTTCAATGTACAGGGAGGGGCTATAGTTGTGCTGCAGGCTACAGCATCCACTCATAGATAGCATTGTTTTTAAATAAGTCATTTTCCAATTTCTTCCTTTTTCCTTACCAAATGCAAAGGGAGATCCATCTCACTGAGTCCCTTTTCTTTCAAAGGCATCTCAATGCCCTTTCAGGCATCTTTAAATTATGAACAGGGCAATCTATCTGTAGTAGCAAACCTTGTAAGATGTTTCTGTATAAGACAAGTCCTTTGCATTCCAGACCGGATGTGGAAATGTATTCTCCAACAGTACCAAAGAATTAGCAGTTGTCATGGAAACTCTGCTCTGCTAAGCAGCTCTTATTGTGCTGTGGTCATCCAGCTTCAGGCCCATAGGAAAACTGCCCTATCCTTACATTAGAAAATGCCAACCCTCTCTTTAGAGATAAGATACAGAACCTCCCCCCCTCCCGGGAACACTGATAGTTGAAAATAATTTACCCCCAGAGAATGAAACAGCCACCAAAGCCAGATCTTCCTGTGAATGCTGGAGTTTTTCTGCCACAATTTTCACAATCTCCTGAGCCGAAGTAGATACTTTAGTTTTTACACTGACATAAGAATGCTCTGTTATATACACACGGCAAAAAACTGCAAAGAAAGAGATAATAATTAAATTAATAGGCAGTGGTAAATTTTTACTAAAATAAAACAATCCTGACAGATTTAAGATGGGAGTGGTTTGCTTGACATCTGGTTTGACACTTATTCCTTGACAACAGAAGCCAAACCTACTAACCTACCAGCATACTTTCCTCTTTCTAGAAAAAGGCATGATTGAAATGAAAACATAGATCGTGCTTCAACAGTACAGAATAAAACAGTTGTGGGGGTATACTAACTGTCACTCTTCAGGGCTAACTGTGTAGCATCTAACCTCTGTATAATATGTGTCAGCATAGTGTAGTGGTTACAGAGTTGGACAAAGGCTAGGAAGGCTATGGTTCAAATCACCTTTCACAATGGAGCTGACTGGGTAATCTTGGGCCTATCACCCATCCAGCCTCACACTGTTGTTGAGAGGATAACATGGAGAAAAAACAAAACATGTATTCTGCTGTGAGCAAAAAGACGGAATGTTGAGATATAAAAGTGAGTACTGCTTTGGCTGAAATTTTCAGCAGCTCTCATATTATCTCCAGGTGCTTGAAGGGGACGCTATAACTGTGAAGCAGCCATGGTGATGCAGTCTACAACATTCAGTTTAAAAAATCCTTTATAACCAATGGTTGAATCCTACCAGAGCAGAAGAGCATGTTGCATCACCAGAAAACCCCTTGAGCTGGAGGAATATCCAATGACACCAGAATAGTCTGACAAGAACTAAGTCACTGGTTCCCAACATAGTGCCATGAGTGCCACCATGTCCGATACAATGGTTCCCCTCTTCCCAAATTCCCTTTTTTCTTTTTCTTTGGCTGGAAAGTCCCTTTTCTTGTTTTTTGTTTTTCTGTCTGTCCCACCCAGTTGTTTAAAATTATATAATGTCGACCTAGCCTAAGGAACCGAAGGACTGACTAAAATCCTTCTTTTGTCTTTGTCTTGATGATGGCACATGGGAGGCTGATGGTAATTTGAAAATAACAAACACCTTTATTTCACTTTTGAGGGGAAATGGTCAGGTAGGTATCAGGCTTACAACTTGGAAGGTAAACAGGCAACAGGACTGAAGTAACTTTGCATAAACAATAGATAGTTTGTCACAACCAAGTAGCTGTTTGGTTATACAGACAGGTGTTTAAAACTGGAGAGAGATCTTGTGGCAGTCACTGCTAAAATAAACAAGCTTCTTCGTCTCAAAAATACTTAAGTTTGTGAAGGGAGGAACATTCACATAAGTTCCAATTTTCCTTCTTAACCACTTGATAGGGATTCATCCCCCTCCTTTACTAGGAGCTATTTCCCCTAGGGAAGGCCTACTCGTCCCACTTCCCTGATTCAGGATCCTCCTTGATCCTGTCACTCTGCTTAATGCTCCTTCACTGTTAGCACTCCACTCTCAACTGTCATTCTTAACTATAGAATTTCATTTCAGTCCCCAGTCACTCAGGGTTCTCAGATTGGGGTAAAGGATTAACCATTTACTATCTGTTACATCTGACAACACTTTTTCTGGTGCCCACCAAGTGTTTTTAGAAAGTTGGTGGGGCCACATGCAGCTTTTGCCCAGCTTCGGCTTGACTCTGACGATTTTTAAAAATGTCACTTCAGCAGCAGCTGCCACCACAGCACAAAAATCTTCACTGTGGGACTGAGGTCAGCTGCAGCAGCCATTGTATGGCAGGCTCTGCCTTGTGTGGCAGTCATTTTGTGGCAGCCAAACTTACCACACTGTGTTAGAATTCTAAAGGTGCATGCAGGCTTTAAAAAGTCTGGTACTCCATCATCTAAGTCATAGATGAAACTTGTGTTTACCTTCATTCATGTTAGATCAAGATGGGTAGCCGTGTTAGTCTGTCCATAACAGTAGAAAAGAGCAAAAGTTCAGTAGCACCTTAAAGACTAACAAAATTTGTGGCAGGGTATGAGAAGTGAGCAGTGACTCATGAAAGGTCATACCCTACCACCGATTTAATCATGATGTTAGACATTATGATACTCTGTGCTGAAGCTCTTGTCTAAATACAATAAACCAGATTCAAATTATCTGGTTGGAACAATTTGCTGTCTTTTATCCTAACGTACTTCACAGGGTTATTTCAAGGATAAAAAAAAATCCCATATACATTGCCTTGAGCTACTTTGAAGAAGGACAGTATATAAATGTGATAAATCAAATATTATCAGCTTTTTGTTTTGGACAAGTTGTATCAGCAATGGTGATATTTAATATCTCTGCAGATCTCAGACACTATACAGAATGGAATTTCTGTTTGGACTTCCAATATAATACTCCTGTTGAATGGCTGCAACTGCAAGCAAAAGTCTGTTGCATGTTGTATGGGGGAATTTGGAAATGCAAATCTGAATCAACTGCAATATGGGCATCGCATAATAAAATCTGTAGCTAATATAGACCTTGACATTGCACATTTGACTCCAACAGTGAATACAAATATGACATTACTACTGGCTTCACTATGCTTGTAGTGTTTCATACAGTAGAGACTTTGAGTCGGATGCCACACTCTAGTAGGATTGCCAAGTCCCCCCGGGGGGTGGGGAAACCCCCGCCCCAGTGACCCATTCCCCACCGCCGCCAGATCGGGCCCTGGGGGGAACTCCACCCCGATGTGCACGTTACCAGGAAGTGACGCGACCACGCCGGGTACGCTGGGGGGCGGGGCCACGGTCATCCGAGGGAAAACTCTATGGTTTTCCCTCAGATGGTCGTGCCCCTGCCCCCAGCGTGCCTGGAGTGGTCGCGTCACTTCCTGGTGATGTGGATGCGGCGCACGCGCTCCAGGATCGACCCGAGAGTCCCCCGCTTCAGGACGAGGTACGACTTGGCAACCCTATCCTCTAGGGACAGAAAAAAGTAAACACACACAGGTTGGGGGATCCAAATTTGAGAACCCCACAATCACCAACACTGAATATAACCAAAAATTGGAGGGATAGACAAGGTCACTCTAGGCCTCTTGCTCTCTAGTTTATTTATTTATTTATTTGTTTGTTTCAATTTATACCCCGCCCTCCCCGCAAGCGGGGAGTGTGTGTATGTTAGGGAACATCAAAAAACCAAGTACATTTAAGACTGGGGACAATTGTCCCCTGAATATGATACACTGCATCTGCAAAAGTATAATGGATAAACAAAGTAGTAGAGTTAATCTGCCAAAATTTACAGCATTTTATTGACGGTGTTTTATAAGCACAGCTGTGGAAGAAACTGCCAAAAAACCCTCCTAAATCCAACAATCCTAATTAATAGCAATAGGAAGTAGACAAAGCAGTTGTATATTTTCCTTGTATGCAGTTCAGTATATCTTCTTGATAAAACTGTGTGACCCAAGTTACTCATATTCTGCATCTGTATTATTCTTGAGATATTTTTGCTTATGTTTACTGATTTCTAAGTTTTGTTACGGTTTTATACTGCTGGCACTCAACTAAATTTAAAACCAATTATTATTGTTGTAGGCCACCGTAAGAGCTTTAAGGCTAAATGGCATACAGTAAATAAAAATAAACTTTGATTTTACTATTCAGATCTCTTAACATTAGCAACCTTAAACTGCTTTATTGAGGAGTAAAACATTAAGAAATTGTGATTTATTTCAAAACTTTAGAGCCCAGCAATTTTCAATAGAATTATATAGACATGTACAACTAATTTTGCATGCTTACTTATACAGTAGGTTGTACTGTAAAAGTCACAAGTGGAATAATTTTTGTCAGAATTAGTTCCAGGTTAAGACCACTGTTTATTTACATCTTATTTACATTTAAAAGTTGTGTCTACTATACTAGGAATACAAATAAGATGAAATAAATCTAGATAGAGTCACTTTTGCCAGACACTGTAGTTGATCTCAAATACAGTGGTCTTTTAATATTATATCCTTTATCTCTATACTACTAAGAATAGCACACAATTCATAAGAATTCCTTACCATGATGTGGCAATCTGCTTTTGAAACAGAGGTGGATTTCACAAGCGGTTTATGATTTCACATAGGTGCAAGTTGACTAGCATCAGAAAGTCAACTAAGGTAAAAAATCTAGCAGAAGAAGCCCTTTGCATGAAATTAAGCACATCTTTGGATCCCAGCCATCATTTATTCCTACTTTGGTGTTTTACACCCTACAAACAAGCCATGACAATGGTAAACACGTCAGTAAGAATAGCTTCGCTCCCACTCTACTGTCTGTAGGAAGATTATATATTTCAAACTCATGATTTTATACAAGGTGAGTATGATCCAGAAAATTCTGACTTAATTCTCCCACATGTTCATGGAAATGAAAGATTTGTTTAATCCTGAAATGAAAAAATCATCTCCCATCTGGCAAATCATGAGGGTGTTTTTCTACAGAAAAGTTCTCTGAGCAAACAAAAGCTATTTTATGAGGCAGGCTAGATTTAAACAAGTGATAATGTGAAAAGTAGAAATTTAACTGACAAAGTCACAAAGATATTTGACTTTCCCATGCACTGTTCAGTCAGATCTGCCCATAATGCTCTATTGACCATGCCCTTCAATCCTCTAGCTCTACTATCATCAGCTATCTGAAAGTCTCCAGATCCCTTAAATGATGTCATCTATTCTTTTTTGCTGCCCTTTTTGCTTCAAACTGCCTCCCCAGACATCTGCATATTCCTTCAAATCCCTTCTCAAAACCCACCTTTTCCATGATAGCCCCTTTACTAAATCCACTGGTCCTTCTCTGTTACAGAAAATAAGGCCTGATTTAAATCCAATACTTGTGGGTATTAATTTACCTGTGGTATTTTGCATGTAACCAGCATCTCATTAACACTGGGCCCTAAAGTCAGAATGCACTCAACATTAGCATGCCAGACAAGTGTTGCATTGGTGTGATAATACTGTATGCATAGCTGTTTTGCATGCATAATACATCAGTTTAAAATTAAGCTTGTGCAACATTGCATGGTAAAGTTCTTTTGGCCTGACAGCTTCCCATTTAAATCATGTCCCTCAAGAAATTAATATAACAGAGTAATGCAGATCCTTCCTCTATTTATCCCCCTCCCTCTGTTGTCTCTTGTCTACACTTTCAAATTCTAAGTTCTGTAGTCCTGGACTTTCAACTTGTACTCTGAAAAGCTCCATGCAGGTGATAAAAGCTGCCCTCTTTGTGGGAAACACTTGAAACATGCTGCACATCTGAAGCAAACTGGCAAGCAGTGTTCCCTCTAAGTTGAGTTAGTGTGAGGTAGCTCACAGTTTTTAGACCTTCATCCTCTCTATCTATTTCTCAACTGCTACGGGAGATAGTATATTTTGAGATCAATTGCAATTGATAGTATATTTTGAGATCAATTGCAACCTTTCCCCATGCAGAATGTGGAAATGGGACTGGCTGTAATGGTGCTGGGTGTGTTACCACTGTCTTATCATGTAGCTGACAAATGACACAAGCCTTAATGGTTGCTTCCACTTGAGAATCCATCCCAGACCACCAATACAAATCCTGCAATCACTGTTTTAGTCTGTACAATTCCTTGATGTGTGTTATGGACAAAGTGTATAAATGTATGCTGCAACTCTTCTGGAACAAGTAGTCAATGTGTACCTCATAAAATACAATCATTTTGTAATGAAAGTTCATCACACACTCTAAAGTAAGGCAACAACTCTGAATCAACTCCCCTTATGTTATTAGACAATTTATCCACCAAAAATCCCCTTAATTGCTTCTGGATTGGACATGCTAAACATGCAGCTTGGAATTTCTCCTGTGCAACTTCAAGTGGGATACCTGAGAGAAGTGCAACAACTTCTACATCCTCTTCTGACAAACATTTATCCATCAAAAATCCCCTTAATTGCTTCAGGATTGGACATGCTAAACATACAGCTTGGAATTTCTCCTGTGCAACTGCAAGTGGGATACCTGAGAGAAGTGCAACAACTTCTACATCCTCTTCTGACAAAATATCTGAAGATGGCAAAGGCAGCAAGACAAACAATCAGCTGTTACATTTTCTGTTCCAGGCTTATATTCCATCTCATAAGTAAAAGAGAGACTACGGAGAGGAATGACAGCCCCTAGATGTAGCAGGAGTGGTCTGGGACTGTCATTCCAGTCCCAGAACACTCCTCCTACCCCAAGGGGCTCTCATTCCACTCTGTGGTCTCACATCCCAGTCCCAGAATACTCCTGTTACCCTCAGGCATTGTCATTTCACTCTGGGGCTTGTCATTCCAGATTCAGAACACTTCTGCTACTTCCAGGGACTGTCAATCCACTTTGGAGCCTGTCATTCCATTCGCAGAATACTCCTGCTACTTCCAGGGGCTGTCATTCCATTTTGTGGTCTCTCATTCCAGTCCCAGAATGCTCCTGCTCCCCCCAAGGACTGTCACTCTAATCTGAGGCCTATCATTCCAGTCCCTGAACACTCCTGCTATCCCCAAGGACTGTCATTTCACTCTGGGGCCTGTCATTCCAGTCCCAGAACACTTTTGCTACTTCCACTGGCTGTCATTCCACTCCGTGGTCTCTCATTCCAGTCCCTGAACACTCCTGCTACACCCAGGGGCTGTCAGTCCACTCTGGGGCCTGTCATTCCAGTCCCAGAACACTCCTACTACATCCAGGGGCTGTCATTCCACTCTGGGGCCTGTCACTGCAGTCCCAGAACACTCCTGCTACCCCATGGGGCTGTCATTCCACTCCGGGGCCTGTCATTCCAGTCCCAGAACACTCCTACTACACCCAGGGGCTGTCATTCCACTCTGGGGCCTGTCACTGCAGTCCCAGAACACTCCTGCTACCCCATGGGGCTGTCATTCCACTCCGGGGCCTGTCATTCCAGTCCCAGAACACTCCTACTACACCCAGGGGCTGTCATTCCACTCTGGGGCCTGTCACTGCAGTCCCAGAACACTCCTGCTACCCCATGGGGCTGTCATTCCACTCCGGGGCCTGTCATTCCAGTCCCAGAACACTCCTACTACACCCAGGGGCTGTCATTCCACTCTGGGGCCTGTCACTGCAGTCCCAGAACACTCCTGCTACCCCATGGGGCTGTCATTCCACTCCGGGGACCTACCTTTTAGTACATCCCTCTGATTTTTTCTGCCTTTCTTTCTTTTCCCAACTATTTGCCTTCTTTCCAGCTCTCCACTTCCTTCCTTCCTTCGCTTCCTTCCTCCCCATCTCTTTGCCTCTCTCTCTCTCTCTCTCTCTCTCTTTCTCTGAGTTGGCAAATACCTGGAGATTTTTGGGGTGGAGCCTGAGCGGTGGGTGTTGCCTTCTGACACACTTCCGGTGATGTCAGGGGGTGTGGCATATGCAAATAAGTTATGCTAATGAGCCCCCGCACCTCTTTTTCTACGAAATGACCCTTGATCTTATGGATAAACCCTTTTGCACAACCATCTTTCTGTATAGAATTATCCCCAGTCACTGCTGAAACTACCCTCTGTGATGATTCAACATCTACTTGGGAAGCCACAATACAGCAATCTACCACCATCAATTTTAACGCAGCACACAAATCCCTGCCAAGGATAGGAGTACCATTAGGTACAATATAAAATTCTATTGGTGCACAACTCACTTCAGCATATAGGTGTTTGGTTCATTAAATAGCATACCAACTGCAATTTTGGTTCCACCAATGACACATTCTTAAAATATTGCAAATAAAGTGTCTAAGATAATATAGAGATTGCTGAACCAGAATCTATAATCAATTCAATATCCTGACACTTCCCAAAAGGGACAGCAAAGATCTTAAAAGTACACATAATTCTTTTGCCACAGCCACTCCCATCCACACTCAAAACATTTACATCAGGCATTTGAATTGCACATTAACTCTGGGCACAAAAAAATCCTTCAGCGCAATAAGAGCAGTCTCATATTTACCATTAGCAAGAGGAAATGTGTAAAAATACACTGTCCTTCCATTCCGGAGGCGTGAATAAGCAGCACAAGTTTTCTCTCTTTAGATACATCTGTGCTACTAATTGCAAGCAGATAATTGCAAAAATACAAATCCATGAAGTAAAAGCAATTGGAGGCTCAGCTGGACTTTGCAAAAAAAGGGGCCAGTGGATTCAAAGGCAAAAGCCATCTCACCCTCACTGCCAATTTGTTATGTCTGTTCAATAATGCCTCCAAGATAAATTCCAAAATCTGTTTATTAAGGTCTCAGCCAAACAGCAGTTAAAACAAATTTGTACTGCTACATTCACTCCCACTTCCTACATCCAACTTATATATACCTCTTCCATAAAAGTTCTCTTAAAGAAACATACACCTACACCACACATAAATAGTTTTTCCTCCTTCCTCCATATTAGCCTCATGACAACCATGAGAAGTAGGTAGACTTGAGAATGCCCAACTGACCTAATGTCACCCTGAGAGCTTAATACCTGTGTGAGAATCTGGACCAAAGAATCCTTGATCAAACTCCAATATTCCTATACTGTACTACACTGCCTCTCGATATAGTGCTATCTACCAATAGTGTGAAAAATTAAACCCATTGAAAAGAGAAAGGTTCTTTAATGCTGATATGTATGGAGTAGGGATGGGCATGAACCGCAAAACAAAATGAACTTTAACTTGAATTGGGCTGGTTCGTGGGTTTTTTGGACCCAGTTCATTTGGTCACGCCATTCCCGAACCATCAATGAACCATTTTTTCTATGGAGGTTCAGGTGGTTCATTAGAGCGAAAAAGCGGTTCATTGACCAGACAGCCTGGCACCAATTAAATCAATTCCCAGGCAACACTGGGGGTAGACTTGTGGAGAGCCCTAGAAACACCCACAGTAGTTGTCCATAGCTTGATTGGCAGCTCTGGCAGCCAACCACAGAGCTCCCATTCTGCTCTGTGGGAGCAGATTGCACCACACCTTGACTCAGCTGTTTTCACTTTGCAGCAGGAAAAGAGAGGAGTTAGTCATCAAGTGAGAGAGAAAAAGAATTGTTTGCTGGTGGCTGATTCAAGGGGAGACTGTGAGGGACTCTTTTCCCCCTATACACAGCGGTACAATTTTTAAAACACCTCTCCTGGCTGAGACCTGAGCCACACACTTACTAGCCTCTCTATGGCAGTGCCGGGGGGGGGGAGCTCTTTTTTCCCTTAAAAATCTAATCTTTGTCAAACTTGGAGGGCAGATGGAGGACAGCCTACTAAAGACTCCCCGTGAGTTTGGCGTTGCGAGGGGGCTGTTCTACCACGAACCATATGAACCGGTTGTGCAAATGGAAAAGTTTGAGTAAGATTTCCCTGATTCGTGCCCAATCATAGTATAGTTGTACAAATGGAAACGTTTGAGTAAGATTGTGTTTCGTGGAATCCAGTGAACCACGAACCACTATTTCCCTGATTCGTGCCCAATCATAGTATGGAGGAATAGGGAAACATTCTCCCTTCTTTAATTTTCTCTTTCAATCACACTTACCTTCTTCAGTTTCATTCACAGTTCCTCTGTTCTGGAGCCAGTTCTCCTTGAGACTGAATTGATGGAAAATGGCTTTATGCTTTGAGCAGTGAAAAAGAGAAACATTAACTAATGAATGCAAAGCAGTAACTATGAAGTTCAAAATAAATCTGGCCTGAAATTGAGAGGTCACCGAAGAAAGAAAGAAAAAGGAAATCCACCCATCCTGTGGTAGTTAAACAAACTGGGAGTTGTCATATCAAACAACAGTAGAATTGCAGATTCAAAGGACACTGAGAAATGAAGTTCAAAATAAATCTGGCCTGAAATAGAGAGGTCACCGAAGAAAGAAAGAAGAAGGAAATCCACCCATCCTGTGGTAGCTAAACAAACTGGGAGCTGTCATATTAAACAACAGCAGAATTGCAGATTCAAAGGACACTGAGAACAGTCGCAAATTGGATCCATGAGAAATTTCAGTACAATCTTATTTTCTGCTCCCTGTGCTTCTTGCAGCAGTATTTCAAAGCTTATTATAGTCTTAAATGGCAATCTAGTGAATCCGTTGATGACAGCAACACTGTCCCATCTGATTTTTAGAGTAACATTTCTCACTGTTTCTCTCCATTAGTTAAACAGAAGTGCTCTCTCCCTGCTACTGAATGGAAGTGCGTTTCCATCACTTCTCAGCACTCTCCTTGTTCTGATAAACTACCTGACATTTGCAATCAGTATCTTTGCTCAGATTTGTTTGCCCAAGTCAGCTCAGATTCAAAGCCGTCTGTTTCTAGACAGGCAAGGACATGCTGATTGGCTCATTTTAGATTCTGGCATCTCAGAGCTTACTGGTTAAATGCTAATAATGCCACTTTCACTTTAGCTTAGTTCACACAGCCAGAAACAGAGCAACAGTGGCAGAAGCAAATGCTTTTAGTAATGCTATAGATCTAGTCCACTGCATGCTTTGGATCACTTGCCTTTATTGATTAGAAGAAACCAAGAAAGTGAAAAATGAGAGTACACAGCAATAACTAAGATAAAATTCAAATATTATACATGTCTGCATTACCTTTCTGTGAGGTGAATATTCATCTACAGTGCTGAAACAAAAAGACAATACATTACTATGTCAAAAATACAAGCAACTGATTATTGCCAGTCTTTGACAAAACAGATACAGAAAGAAGACAATACATTACTATGTCAAAAATACAATAAGCAACTGATTATTTCCAGTCTTTGACAAAACAGATACAGAAAGGAGAGGGTGTTGATGGCTTTATCTAAACAATAATTGCCATCTGATCCTATATATGTTCATTTAGAAACACATCCCAATGAAATTAACAGGACTTACTCTGAAGTGTGCATATGACTGCAACCTTTTATATCAGAATTGAGGCCTAATATGACATCACAAATGCCTCAACTGTAAGTAACTAGGGCAACAGACATTGCCAACTATCTTCTAGCACGAAGGGTGGCCCATATGACAGGAACAAACTTTAGTTTTTAAAAGATCTTCAGTTTTCTCATATGACAGGAAAAAATATAAACTTTAAAACACTGCCAACCTAAACACACACACACACAAAAATGATATGGCTTCCTACTAGTGTTACCAATCTCCCAGACTACAGAGATTAGCCTGGAGAAAATGGCTATTTCAAAGGGGGGACTCTGTAGCATTGTACTCCCCTGAGGTCCTGCTCCCCAAATCCTGTCCTCTCCAGGTACTACCCCCAAATCTCCAGGAATTTCTCAGCACATAGCTGACAACTGTTATTTATACATACTGAAGAACAAGCAGTTCTTTTCAGTAAGCAGCACAATTCTACTAAATAGCAACACAGGAATTTAAAATTTACCAAGAATCAATTATACACTTTTGTGTCCTAGCAGCGCAACAAACAAACATCTTTTAAAAGGTAGGAATTAAGCATATTCATTTTATTTTCTGGTATGAAAATGCAGTGTGTTGGCAGGCTTAATCCTTTATGATTGATGAAGACATTGGTGTAACTAAGTAAGGGAATGAAAGAAAAAAATACATTGAGTAAAGGAGGACGGTTGCAGAATAAGAAAATTTAAGGACAGTTAGCAGAATGCTCAATTAAGCTGTTCGGTTTGAAAGATATAAGAAATGGGGCAAACACAGTAGACAGCAAACCTGATAAGAATTAGTAGTCCTATTGTTTAAATTCTCACAAACTACCTTCCCTCAAATATAAATTACTTGTTAATACAACAGCTGGCTAAAAAAATCTTCTGTTATGTGGTGGAAGGCTAAATTACTGTTTGATGGTATCATAATTTCACTCTGTTCACATTCTGTATATTAAACACTAGGAGTAAGGCCCACTGTGGGAAGAAACACAACAAGCTCTATAAGGAAGCTCCACATGAGTGTCCCAGCTGTGGCTGGTAGGGCGGCAGAGGGAAGGGGAATATAGAGGGAGGCAAGCCATGTTTCTTTCCTTCTGCTTAGCTATAAGGCAGGTCTGTCTCAAGTTATTTTGCTGCCCCAAGTGGGTAGTATGGGAGGACAGCCTCATGGTAACAGGTATGGTTCCCTCCAACCCTGACTTATGTTGATTTGGGGTTACGCAGTGGCAGCTAAGGTAGAAAAGCACCTCCTCCTATGCCATGTTTTCTGAGTTCCAAGGGTCTGGAAAGCGGTTCCATAGCCAATTACATGGTTGCCAACTCTGGGTTGGGAAATATGTGTAGATTTGAGGGGTAGAGCCTGGGGAGGGCAGGGTTTGGGGTGAGGAGGGACCTCAGCAGGGTATAATGCCATAGAGTCCACTGGCCAAAGCAGCCATTGTCTCCAGGAGAACTGATCTTGGTCATTTGGACATTAGTTTTAATAGCTGGAGATCTCCAGGTGCTGCCTGGAGGTTGGCTTATGTTAATTTGGGGCTATGCAGTGGCAGCTAAGGTAGAAAAGCACCTCCTCCTGTGCCATGTTTTCTGGGTTCCAAGGGTCTGGAAAGTGGTTCCATAGCCAATTACACGGCTGCCAACTCTGGGTTGGGAAATACCTGTAGGTTTGAGGGGTAG